TTTGGCCCTCCCTGGTGTCACAGTGGGTTAAGCACAGCACTGAAAGGCTGAGTTTGATCCCTGCCCATCCCAGAGGTGATCCACATGGTACAGCAAACCTCTCCTAACCTGCCTGCTGCTCTCCTCAGCAGTGTGTTTTGTCCATCTGCCTGTTCTGCTCCCCACTCTGTCTCTGGTGATTCCTCTCACCACACCTGTGCCTCTGGCCTGAACCCCAGTACTGTATCCATAAATAAATAAATCTTAAAAAAAAATCCCCTTTCTACTCCGGTTGCACACACTAGTCTCTTTAGCTTTATTGCAGCTTTTCACCACTTTATATATGCAAACTATTAACCTATTAATCCTATTTAAGCAAAACAAGAACACAAAGTTCCACAGCATTTAGCTTATTCATTAATAAACAGTTTGATTATTTACAATGTGAATCATTCTAGAATCAATTCATAATTAGAGCTGGGGCTTATCTGGCCACCAAATGTGTCTCGGATACTACTTTAACCAGTCATTTATTTTATCCACATAGATGAACGACAAGAGAGATCACCCATAAGGTATATTTGTTAAGGTCTCTAAGTATACCTTAACAAATATGCTGTTGCATGTTTTTAATCTCATTTGTTTCTCTACACAAAATATGGTGCTGTAAAGACATTCACTTTACAGATGAGATAGCAACAGTAAGAATGCTCATTTAGATCAAAGTCAGTGCCAAAGCTCAACCCTTGTCTTTTGGCTCTAAGGTCAGTAGAGCATTGTCTGTTTTCCATACCATATTCTCAGGTGCTAAACAAATTCACACTGATCAATATTCATACCTGTAATTTACATTAAAAAAAACTAAAACGTGGGCCCTCCCTGGTGGCACAATGGGTTAGGATGCAGCACTGAAAGCTAGCGCAGCAGCTTCAGTACAAGTTCGAGCCTCCATCCCAGAAGTGACCCACATGGCTTGGCAGACCTCTCTTGCCCACCGGCTGCTCCCCTCAGGAGTGTACTTAGTTGGTCTGGCTGTTCTGTACCCCACTCTGTCTCTGGTGAAGCCTCTCAGTTCTGTATGCATAAAGAAAAAAAAAAACTAAAACTTAAGGTCCCTGAGTAATATGTATTACTCTTTTTTTTTTGCTGCCTGTGTGACTAATGTCTAGCTAAAAGAAAGGGGAGAGGGGAGCTAAGTGGGCTGCCCTTTATCCATTCAGAAGTTTAACATACTTGCTAAGGGCAACAGTTTCATTCGTTTGTGCAGTTAGCAAACTATGGATTCTAGAGCCAGACTTTCAAGGTCCGTATCTAGCTCTTTCAGTAGTATCTGCATGAGCTTGGAAAAGTCGCTTCCTGTCTCTGTATAACCAGTGAAACAAAAAGGTACAAAATATGCCTACCAAGAACTACCGCCAAAATAATTATGATTTTATTCTAATATACACTAAGTTGCCTTTTTTTTTTTTTTTTAGAGTAGGCAGGACTCGTAGATTACTCATAATATTTGATTGGTGTAGTTGTCCCCAATCTCACTCATAAGTAAATGTTTTTGGGAAAAAAAAATGAACATTTTCCCAGTGAATTTCTTCCCAAAATTCAGCAAAAACCAAGTTACAAGTATTATAAATCTTGGGTCTTTGCAATATAATTGCCTCAGTGAAGATTAGAAATTCTTGTGTGATTCTTCCATGAATATGTGGATTATTTAAAAATGTAAATCATCTTTATATGTTAATTTACATGGAAACCTAAAAATTCCATTGATAAACTACTCAAAACAATCAACCAGTTTAGTAAGGTAGTAGGATATAAAATCAACACACAAAAATCAGAGGCCTTCCTATACACAACCAACCAGAAGAAGCAGAAATTTAAAAAACTAAAAAAAAAAAAACAAAAAAACACCTTTACTATTAAAACAAAAAGAATCACATACCTGGGAGTCAACCTTATAAAAGAGGTAAAAGACCTATACAAAGAAAATTACAAGACACTGTTAAAAGAAATACAAGAAGACACCATGAAATGGAAAGACATCCTCTCCTCATGGATCGGGAGAATTAACATCATCAGAATGGCCATCCTGCCAAAAGCGATATACAGATTTAGCACTATCCCAATAAAAGTCTCAATGACATTCTTCAAAGAAATAGAACAAATATTGATAAGATTCATATGGAACCACAAAAGACCTCAAGAGCCAAAACTTTCATGACTAAAAAGAAAGAGAACAGAAGCATCACAATCCCAAACTTCAAGCTATACTACAAAGCCATAATAATCTAACCTGCATGGTACTGGAACAAGAACAGACACATAGACCAGTGGATTTGAATAGAAAACCCAGCTATAAACCCACAGGTTTATGGACAGCTTATTTTTGACAAAGGGGCAAAGAAGATACAATGGAACAAAGTTTGTTCAACAAATGGTGCTGGGAAAACTGGGAAGCTACACGCAAAAAAATGAAACTAGATCACTACCTCGCACCATACACAAAAATCAACTCAATATATAGATGGGACTACATCAAGTTAAAGAGCTTCTGTACAACAAAAGAGACAGTACAAAAAACAAAGATATCCCACTAATTGGGAAAAAATTTTCTCACACAAAACTAGAGATAAAGGATTGATCACAAAGATATACAAAGAATTGATGAAACTCAACAAAAATAAACAACTCCATCAAAAAATGGGCAGAAGAGCTAAAAAGACACTTTTCTCTAAAGAGGAAATGCAAATGGCCAAGAAGCATATGAAAAAATGTTCAACATCACTTGTAATAAAGGAGATACAACATAAAACCACAATGAGATACCACCTCACACCAGTGAGAATGGCACATCTTAAAATAATTAGCAACAACAAATGTTGGAGAGGATATGGAGAAAAAGGAACTCTCCTACACTGCTGGTGGGAATGCAAACTAGTACAACTACTATGGAAAATTGTTTGGAGGTTTCTCAAACTATTGGAGCTTCTATATGACCCAGCAATCCCATTTCTAGATACCTACCAAAAAGACACAAAACACTGATTCAAAAAGACACCTGCACTCCCTGTTTAATTGCTGCTTTATTTACAATTGGAAAGACATGGAATCAATCCAAATGCCCAAAAGTAGATGACTGTATTTAAAAGATGTAGTATATATACACAATGGAATATTATTCAGCAACCAAAAAAAATAAATAAATAAACATGTTGCCTTTTGCAGCAACATGGATGGAGCTGGAGAAGATCATGCTTAGTGAGATAAGCCAGAAAGAAAAGGAAAAATACCAGATGGTTTCACTCATAGCAGGAGTATTAAGGACCAGGTGAGAAAATAATAATAATAATAATAAGCAAATATATACCAGAGACATTTTACGGGGGTGGAATGGGATCAAAAATGGTGGGAGGAGAGAAGTGCACTGGGCTATAGTGATGGCACACCGGTGATTTGGTGATGGGAAGCTCACGGGGATTACCACTGAGATGGAAAATGGTACAAAATGATGTAAAAATAAACTATTATATTATTAAACAATATATAAATCATTTTAAAAAGCAATCCTTGGTAACAATAAAGGGGGGAGGGGAGAGGGAGGTGGGCCTGTGCATGACATAACTGCTCTAGTAACATTCTGAGCAGAAAAATTCTTCTGTTCATACTTGGAGAACCAACAGCAGCATTAGGTCAATGACAAGTCTGACCACTGTTCTTACCTTTTCTCACTGAACTATTAAAAAGTAAATGAAATCAATGTATTAATTGTATTTGGAGCTGCACTCTTTTCTTTATATTTTCTTGAGATTTGGAAGACATTTGTCAGCAACTGCAAGCAGTTAATACATTTTATACAAATATTGCAAATTTTGAGGAAGCATTTCTCTTAGGCAGGAGCAGTTTAATTAGTGGTTATCCACTTTAGTTTTATAACCTCATGACTACGTTTTAATGTCGGGGGAAGCTCTTCCTTGCTCACATCTATTTCGTAACTTATAATGTGCATGGCATATGGTAGCCACATAGTAAAAATCTGTGGAAGCTCGGCACTGCTTCTGTTTCTCAGGCTAATAGAGGAAGAACACTGGGAATAGAGTTGCTGAGATGTCTTTTTCTAACAATGACTATAGAGACATCTGCTGGCAATTGCTGGCATTACACTTCTGGACTGAAAAAGGAAAAAAAAAGTAGAGGTGATTTCTGTTTTCTTCCTTATGGGGTGTAGAATATGGTGAATATCAAAACTAGGATAAATCAACAAATTTGTTTGCAGTTGAATAAAAGGCATTAGATTAAAAACACACACATACACAAAGAACTATGGCTAGCCTTTCTGTGATCCTCTGATACTAAATTATTCAAGACTTACATTTAAAAAAAGGTAGAATAGGGAACCAGTAAGTGAAATTACTATGTCTGCTACTAATCTTAATTTTGAGGATATTTTAAGCTCATCAATCTGAGAGTCATCCAATATACAATGTTTTCATGACACTCAATACGTCTCCAAGTCTATTTTCCTCTTTCCTTTTCCCCATCTTATCTGTGATAGGTTCATTGACTTATAAAGGCAGCTGCAAGTAATAATTTTTTGAGGTTTTTTTTTTTTTTGTGATCCAAGGAGATGTTTGGCTAACACTTCAGACTACCTCATTCTTCCCAGCTCTAGGGCTTTGGAGACTGGTTACTAGTGCAGTCCTACAGTGACCTCTTGCTGCATGATTTGTACATGAACCTGCAATTGCCAAGACAGAGAACTCTCTGTGTGGGAAAGTATGTGTATTTACATACATTCCATGAATTAACTGATTTTGAATATTTCCATAGTCTGTAAAACTACTAACTTTCCTATTTCCAAGCAGGAACTGAAAGAAAACTCTTCTTTATAATAAAATTTATGAGTTTGTGAAATGGTCTATCAATTTGCCCTCTTGATTTTTGTTTTAAAATGTATATTTTTCTTTTCTAATCAGCTATATCATAGGCATTATGTATCAGACTATTGAATAAGCAAAATAATTTACAGTTGAGGAGTTGCAGAGTTCCCTGTTGGGTCCATGATTTGAAATTCCATGATATCTGAATTTACTTCCAAAGATGGGTTTATGATGTAAAGAATAGTCTTACTGTTTAAGTCCTTCTGACTAAATTTCTCATGGATAACTTCACCTAAAAAAAAGAATGAATGAATTTCAGAGATAATCAAGCAGAATGTTGAATAAGATGGATCAAATTGTACTGCTGTTTTATTTTAAACATAGTTTTAAAAACCGCCAAAGCATTTTTTGAAGAAATTATCATTATTGTAACTACCTTAAACTCAAATGTAATGAACCTAAGTTAGGCTTTAAACTTTGCTTTATCCCAGAAATAAATTGTGCCTTAATGAAAGCACAAAGATAGAAGGCAACAATAAAATCTGTAATTCTGTACCATTCTTTTTAGTGATATAATTTGATCCCATCTCATAAAGCAGAAATAATATACAATGCAAAGAAAGCATTATACCAAAAAAAAAAAACCCAACTCAGAATTTTCTAAATTAACTGATTGATATCACTTAGAATTCATGATTTAATAGTTACAAATTTAAGATTTGTAATTTGAGAAATTACAGAGTCCTGACACTGTGTGTTCCTCCTAATGTATTACAATCTGACTACTGAAAATAACTTACAAGCAATAAGCATCTATGCATCAGTGTGCTATTCTCCTATTCAGGATGAATTTGGGAAAGTTTAGCTTTAAGCCTTCTGTAGCACCAATATTGATTTATTAACTGCATCTACCAGGGTGTCTACCAAATAGGTGTCTACTTAATCAAATTACTCTCAAACATCTCCAGCTACTGGTATTTTGAAATGAGTAATTATGAGTATTAGAGAAGTCAGACCTGTGGTTGTGTTTTTCAGATGTCCGTGTCGGGGTGCTTGTAAAATCTTAAAAATTATCTGCTCGTCATCAGTGTCAGGATCCGATGCCTTCAACACCCGGGAAGTAATATAAATCCCATAACAGCCATTTTTCAGGAGCCCCACTTGAGAAGGGGGGTGCAAGTGCATGATGTGAGGGGCTGTTTTGTCCACCTGGTCCACCTGAATCATCAATAATCATATAAAACGTTATACAGAGGCTTGGCATCCATGTACGTAGCACTTTAAAGAGTCAACAAAGACAAACTTCCCAAAGTTCAAATTCTTCATTCCCTTTATTTGCGAATTTCTGCTGAAGATTGTCTTCTTCACTGTTTCTTCAGCAACTGTCATGATGTCTACAACAGAAGCCAACTTTTCACTGCAAACTTTGACCTCCTTTCATGTGTCTGTTGTTTAACTTCCTCGCAAAGACATACGCTCCATGAGAACAACCACCAGGTCTTTTTTTTTTTCTGTTTGTTCTCTACTCCTGGCACAGTGCCTGGATGGTAACAGAAGCTCAAGGAATAGTTGTTGAATGACTACAGTAAAACTGACCCAGGAATTGTATTGCCAACTGTGTTAACTGCACAGAAGGATTCCCCATTTCCTAGTATTTGGTGATTTACTGTAACAAAGTTCTAAGGTTTTACACATGCATTAATTTCTTTTTAATCTATCTTTGTTTAAATGACCTACGTATTAACAAAAAGTACATCAACGAGAAAAAAATGTAAGGTGATTAGTTATACATATTGGTATATTTGTTTCACTGAGGATGAGAATCAAGTAACTAAATGGGTGGAATCAATTTATGAAGATGGTGGATGGACAATTACTCATGAGAAAGAAGGAAAATACACGTTCCAACTCTAGTGTCTAATTAGTGTGACTGCCATCCAGGTAGGCATGGAGGGTAGTGCTCACTACAAATGAGTATTGTAGGTTATAGAGGAAGCATGTTTCAGACAATTTACCATTGAAACTAAAAAGCAGGTACGAGAGCAATGTTGCTTTCATTCCCCTTATTCCTAATCATTCATTTACTCAAGAATCATATTATAGGAAATCTCAGTACCCACTAGCAGAGTAAAGAATAACTGTTAACGGAAGAGATTATGCTAGAGATTATTGCTTTTTTTTTCTTACAATTGCATGCGAATCTATAATCTTAAAATGAAAAGTTAAATTTAAGACACTGATGAGAAGTTTAAAAACGAAGTCATTTAGGACTTCCTAGGTAAGATAAAAATAAGCCCTTATAGACCCTTATAATTGTATGGCTTACATTATTTTATTTTTATTTTTCAATGGAGTGTCATTGTTTTACCATCTTTGTTAATATTTTGACAATACAAGATTTCTCCTGTCAGGTGTGTTCATGTTAGCTCTCCCATCACCAAAGCCCCTACAGTTCTCCACCAAAGTCCATTATGCTCTCTCCCTCCTCATCCCTGCCCTGTCCTCACTTCCCCACCTATCTATGCCTTAGATCTATGGTCAGCTTTCAAGGGCTGGTTTTAAAAGTTGGCGTTGGCCCTCCCTGGTGGTGCAATGGGTTAGGACACAACAATGCAAGCTTGCCACAGCCGCCTCAGTGTGAGTTCAACCCCTGGCCCCGGAGTCAATCTGCCTGTTCTGCTCCCCACTCTTTCTCTGGTGAAGCCTTTCACTGCCCCTGCACCTCTGGCTTGTACCCCAGTTCTGTATGAATAAATAAATAAATCTTTAAAAAAAAAAGTTGGCCTTGTCTGATACTTTGGTTTCTCTTTATTTCGCATATAAGCAGCATCATCTGGTATTTATCTTTATGTGGTTTATATGAAGGCATAAAAGAACACTCTGCAGCCATTAAAAAGAATAAGAGGATAGATCAATCATTAAAAAATTCCACAACTGAATGTTAATTGCTTTAAAAACACAATTAGCAAGTTGCAGGATAGGAAATGACTATAATGGCATTTTTTTTTTCAAAACAAATATAGATCTATTCTCATAGGCAACCAAAATTCTGGCGGCATTTGCTTAAAGTTGTTTCTCTTCTAGTGGAAAAAAGTTGCCTTTGCTCCTTTAAGTATTTCTGTGTGGAATTTGGTACCTGCCAAAAATCTTTTCCTTTCAACTAGACATATTTTTTATGAACAAAAGTAAGCATACCTCATGTTGGTAAATGTTTAGGAAACAGATATTTTTATGTTTTGCTGGTAGGTGCACTGACTGGAGAAATTTTTGAGAGACATTTGTCTATAATACAGATAGTAAAATATGAATATACTTTGATTCAAAACTTATGCTTTTTGAGTATAGTCTACATAAATAATTTGATACACACAAAGAAATACACATGAATACTGACTAAAATATAATTTATGAGAGTAGTTAGTAAAACACTCTATAAAAACAGGACTAATAGGACTTATAAACCATCCTTGCCTGAGACCAAGTACTATGCAACCTTTAGATGCTACATTTTCAAGGAGTATCTTCTAATGACATGAGGAAATTTTTATAATACAATGAAGAGCGGGAAAAATCAGTACAATGGTACATGTACCATCACCCCACTCTTTCAATGCACAAAACAAAACAATGGAAGGAAACTACCACCAACAGTTTTACCTTTGTGTCCTTTGATTATGAAGGATAGTTTTCTTGTCCTTTTCTGTAGTTTATGAATTTTTTACAATACACAAATATTTTATAAATTGAAAAGGCAACACATAGCTTCAAAAATTAGTCATTCTCTCATAGAATAAGTGTGGCAATCACAGAGATGTGAGATTGGGTGGGAAGTGGAATGTGAGTAGTAAGTATGGTCTTTTCTGGGGAGAAGCACCCCTACACTGATGATCAACAAGATGGTCCATTGTAAGAGGAATAATAGACATGACTTCAAGTCATGTATGAAAGTCTCAAAACCAATAACTAGCTAAGTATGGGGGGATTAATATTAGATTTCCCTTAAAAACCAAAGTATTAATTTAAAAATGCCCTTGGTGATCATTTGTTTTTTAAAAATGTTATTAACTGGCCCTCCCTGGTGGCGCAGTGGGTTAAAGCACAGCACTGAGAATCTAAAGCCACTCCGCATGAGTTCGATTCCCGCCTGCCCCGGAGGTGACCACATGGCCTAGCAGACCTCTCTTGGCCCGCCCGCTGCTCCCCTCAGCAGTGTACTTCGTCGATCTGCCTGTTCTGTTCCCCACAATGTCTCTGGTGAAGTCTCTCACCGCCCCTGAGCCTCTGGCCTGTACCCCAGTTCTGTATGCACAAATAAATAAATTTTATTAAAAAAATGTTATTAACTAAGCTCTGGTTATATGTACCCTTTTGTGTCCTTATTCATATTTGTCATAAAATGTATCCTAATCTAAATAATGCCCAGCTTCTCCAAAAGCAGGTTTACTGGTTCAGTATACTAAAAGCACTTTTAAAAGATTAGAATAGCAGACACTTTTTAAATGGAAAGGCTACATTCTTGCAATAACTTGTGTTGTATTTTTGGAAATCACCTCAGACTTGCCTCTGCCATAGGAAGCAGTGACTGGCCAGTCCTTTTCCCTCACCTCCAAATGCACCCCTTTTAAGGAAGCTCACAGGAACGACTGCAGGAAGATTGTGTTGTCTTGGTCAGACAGACACCACTTCCTATACAATGAATGTCAGAGTAGTGTCTCCTGCGATCAGTGGAGTGCACCTGTGTTTTGCACTTAACAAGTGCTGTAGTTTTGCCCTTAGTTAACCCAATTGGTACAATAAGGGTGGTGCACCCATTCTTAGGAGATTTATTTGGACAGAGTCATCACTCAGTGGAGGTTAATATATTGCCTCACCAGGAAAATGCTTGAAGACAAGAGACTGACTGCTGACAGAGGCCAATCACTTCCTAACTGGCTTGAGCATTCTACTCAAACAGATTAGGAAGTTGGAATTATGGGTGAAAGTGTGAGGCTTCCCTGTGAGGCTTTTAACCATAATGTTTGGTTTTCTTGGCATGGAAATCCTTGCGAACCTTTGCAACATGTATCCAACACTTTCCTATCAGTAAAATCTGGTATGTGTAAAAGGTACCTCTCTATGGTGACTATATCCTATAAGATGAGTATTGACATTGAAAAGACTTTATTTAAATTCTAATATTGTCTCTACAATCTACCCCTGTCCTTCTCTTCTCTGGACTAGGTTATAGGAAGGACCTCTTGTGCCTGCAATCATAATAGATAACTCCTACAAATTTATAGCCAAGTAGAGACACAGGTTATTCCTGGTTGCACAGCACAATGACATACCTCTACCTAGTGTAGGGAGTCAAGAATCAAGAAATGATTATTAATGCATTAAAAAGTGGTACGTAGCAATTAAAGTATTTAACAAAAAACATAATAATTTTACTACATAAACAGTACTTCTCACACACTATGTCAATAACATAAAAATACCTTCTCACTTGTCCCAGTACATTAGTATCTCATCACAAAACTCACTACTGCACAAGTTAATTCTATATTCTCACAACTCCCTCACCTTTCTATTCTGATCCCACCTTAGATAGAAAGTGTGATGACTAATTTTGTGTCCAGCTGGTTGGTCTATAATGCCCAGTTGTTTGGTCAAACACCCAGCTAGATATTGCTGTGGAGGTATATTTAAGATGTGATTAACATGAGCTCACATTAACTCTCCAACATTTAACTACATAGATTCTATCCCTTCCTTTCTCCCCTTAGTGTTTTGCTACTGACTCATAATATCCTTGCTCAGGACCCTCCATGGTGACACACTGGTTAAAGCACAGAGCTACGAAGCTATCCTCAGCCACTGCAGTGCGTTCCATCCCAAGCCAGTGAGACCAACATGGAGCAGCAGACCTCTTCTGACTTGCCTGCTGCTCTCCTCAGCAGTGTGTTTTAGTCAATCTGCCTGTTCTGCTCCCCATTCTGATGAACCCTTTCACCCCTTGTACCTCTGGCCTGTGCCCCAGTTCTTGTATGCATACATAGATAAATCTTCTTCTTATTATTATTATTATTTTGTTTAAGCTACTGATTTTGTATTCCACTGTCATTTTACTCAGAGTTTTTGTTTGTTTTTTTTTTCTTTTCCTGTAGAACTTCCAAAATTTTTTGTAGGGCAGATCTGATGCTTATGGACCCCAATTCACTTCTATTTTCTAAGAAAGTCTTTATTTTACTGCATATGTGCATGAAATTTTGCAGGGTAGAGTATTCTTGGCTGGCAGTTCTTATCTTCTAGGATTGTGAATACTTCATTCTACACTCTTCTTTCTTGGAGGGTGACTGGAGTGAAAACCAAGGAAAGCCTAATTTGGATGTCTTTGTATAATATCTTCATTTCTCTGTATACCTGCATTTTTTTTCTGTATCTTTGATTTTTGATACTTTAATAATGATGTTTTTTTAGTGTATGTCATTTTGCATTTAGTGATTAATATTTAAATCAGTAAGCTGTGAATATAGATGACCTTCCATAATGTGGGTGGATCTTATTTACATGGATGAAAGCTGTAAGAAAACACTAAACCCCTAAAGAGAAAGAAATTCATCCTCCAGACTGCCTCTGAACTCAAGACTAAGAAATCCACTGCTGCTGAAATTTCCAGACTGCTGTCCTGTCCTGTCCTGTATTATCAGAGTCCAACCGTATCAGCCAATTCCTAAAAATAAACCTTCAAACACACACATATCCTACGGTCCTATTTCCCTGTAGAACCCAGACCAACCCAGAAACTAAAGAGTAAGAGAATATTTTGATTGCCTTATATAACCAGAAGGCATCCTGAAGTAAGGGATAGCTTTACCTTCTTTAGCGTTGGTGAAAGTATGTAGAACAGGGAGAACCAAGGAAAGTGAGTTCAAAAGTTTGAGAATTAGAGCATAGGTGATACACTTTGACTTAAAAATATATATTGCATTATGTCCTCCAAAAGTCATTACAGTAATCAACACAAATGAAGTAGTTTATTGTCAGAGAAAAGACACATTTGTCTGGGATCAGAAAAACTTGAGTCTTTTATGTATTTGGTTAAATACATAAACTGAACTTCTGGATATTATAAATCTAAGATTACAAAACTTACCTCATAGGATCTTTATGGGAGCTAAGTGAGATTTATGTAACATGACACTCCAAAAATTACAGCTTGTTATAAGTATTTTCTTTGTCATTATTACATGTGAAATGATGCTGCTTTGTAAGTTTTTATGTGCTTAACTGAAAACCATTATAACTACATAGGCCAATCAGAATCAGCATAATAGTATAGTTAGATATCATGAGCAGCTACAAAATACTGAATATTTAATGTATTTATGATTATATGCTAGTCACTCGGATACATAATCTTATTTAATTCTTGCTGAAATTATTTTTCAAAGAAAGAAAAGCATAATCAAAAGAGTTAAAAAAATTCTTTGAAGGCCATATAATCAGTGAACGACAAAGCAGAAATTTCAAATTTTGCTGTTTTTTGTGCTACCACTGACTCTTGGGGTAAGTCACTAACCCATACTCAGGGACCATACCACACCTGTTTTGTTCACATTATACAAGCCTGGTGCCTTGTATAATGGTCAGAATGTACAGTATACATATTTGAATGAAAGAAAGGAAAGGAAAGGAAACAGTTCTCTGAAGTCATTTTCTCCACATCTCTGACAATGAACTGTATATTTGTCATACTAACCTGGATGGTGAATGATACAGGATCTTGCCACACTTTCCCATCCACAATAAAGCCTTGGTTTGTCCTGTCCGTGGCCACAAAAGTGAACTGGTCAACCTGGGAATCCCCTCCCAAGTGCCTATAGGCCACATTCTTGCTGTCCACATCTTGCTGAGTAAAGTTGTGTTGAAGTCGTATCGTCCCCCTCAGGTAGAGTTGGCCGTATCGGGGGAGCTGGCTCACAAGGAAAGTGAGGTTTTCTGCATCTGTGTCAGGATCTATCAGCTGAAGGAGGTCAGGGGAAAGCAGGCCCGTGCCCCCTCCTGCCACTCGCAGCCCCTTGTTCTTGGTCACCACAGGTAAGGCTCTGTCCACAGTCTCCACTGTGACCTCAAACACCCCCTGCTTGGTCTGCAGTCCATTGCTGACGATGAATCTGGCAAAGAGAGGCAAGGTAGCCTTCAGCATGGATTCTTGTGTCACCATCTACTGGAATGAAATGATAACAATACACACCTTTACTAAAGGACATGTTGTATTGTAACGCCAGTGAAAACTCAAAGGCAGTTCTCTCAGGACACCATTCAATGCATTAAAGCAGTTGCTAGGTAACACAAATTAATCATTCTACACCCCAAAATAATTTCTCAACAACATTGTGTTTCTCAGCCAAGTGATGGAGCAAGCTAATCCTGCTAATACGATTTCCCAAGTTGCTGATACTTACTGTAGTTCCTTGCCCCAAATAAGCATTTCACATTCAATTAGACCCACTGTATGAGTTTGAAGAGTAAACTCATTTTATATATTTACAATTGCGGTCTTTTGGTCCTTAATAGGTTAAACTGTTAAAACTGATCTTATGAAGCCTATTTTATTGTATATGTATTGAATATATTTTTATGGTACATTTCTTAAGAAGAGATCTCATTACTATCATTTAATCATGTCTAATTCATCTTCCTGTTTACAACCTCCTGTTCACTCTTTTGTAAAGTGTAACTTTAAGACATCAGAGGATGTGCTAGCCCTTTACATTTCTACATTGTATTTGTATTTCTACATTCACCTCTAGTAAGATATATGCAGACTACACCAGAGAAGGATTACTTCCCTGCTTTAAAGAAAAGAAGTTTATAGCAGAAAGATCCAGAAACTTGAAGGGGGGAGACAAAGGTGAGACTAGAACTCAGGTTTTTTAACCTCATACGACTGCTCTTACAGAGTTTTTCATAAATGCCTGCTCAGCAAGCCACTTAGAACATGTTGTCATGACTGAATATGGCTGCAGAACTCTAAAGAGAAAGTTGAAATGACTAATCGCAGGTAAGCACTCTCTCTCTCTCTCAGTGTGGACTTGTGATGCCAGAATGGACTTCTGGTTCCACTGATCTCTAAATCACATTGTTCCTACCCTGCCAATGTCAAATTAAAGCTAATCTAAGCTATCTCTAGAACTTTTCAAGGTGTAATTTCTAAGGACAATTGAGAATATTACTAGATTAAGCAAATAGAATGTACTGTTGAAACTCAAAAAGTTAAGAAATCACTCCTTTCAAGGAACCGACGAATTCAACAAGATCAAAAATAGTGCACTTAGTGTCTAGTAGTTTTTCTCCATGTAGTATAGTGCTCAAAATATTCATAGAGAATACACTCTTCTACTCCATGGACATAAAACTCTCTGAAAACAGTGGAATATAACACTGAATTACATAAGAATGTTTTGGAGGTTCCTTCTTTTAATTAGAGCTGAGATGGGGTTTATATTTATTTGATAACCCAATAAAGTTGATCACTGAGTTATTAATACTTTGTAACATGTGGCCTGTCCTTTGTGGATGCTTTGCTTCTGCCCACAAAGGAACTTGACACGAGGGCGTGTGAGTACAGTGAGTCAAGCATGGAGCAGACAGAGGATGCAGGAAGAAGAGCTGCTGGACACAAGCAAAGGAAGATGTATTGAAGTGAGTACAGATTCTGATTTGAAGGTAAGGGTAACCCTTTTCATCTCTGGAGTTATCTAGTTGGTAAGACTGCCTAAAAGGAAAATATGATAGGACAGAATAAAGAATCTCTGTCTGAAAAGTTAAAAGTGTTGTGAAATGTAACAAATAAAACAAAATTTGCTATTTCACACACCTGGATTTATAGGGAATACAGCCTGTTTCTAGTTTGAATCAAGTCATTGAGTTACATTTAAAATTCTGAATAAGCAAACCACATAGCATTCTTTAAAAAATATATCATTTCTTTAGTAAAGTCAAACTTTCATAAAAGTATATTGTCAGGGGCCCTCCGTGGTGGCTCAGTGGGTTAAAGCGCAGCACTGCAAGCTGGCAGCAGCCGCTTCAGTGGTGGTTCCATCCCCAGCCCTGGAGGTGACAGCTGACCTCTCCATCTCACCCACTGTTCCCCTCAGTAGTGTAAATCATCGATCTGCCTGTTCTGCTCCCCCCACAAACTCTGTCTCTGGTGAGTCCTCTCACCCTCCGCACCTCTGGGCTGTATCCCAGTTCTCTATGCATAAATAAATAAATCTTTTAAAAACATGTATTTTGTCAGTAAAGTGGAAAATTTCATTGCTGCATCATGAGGTGCTTACAATGTTCATTATTTTGTGAAATTTTGGGGAAAAAAGCACATTCAGAAAAATATGTGTTCAATTTTTAGTCCCACCAACAGTTTCAAAAGTCAAATGACATGTACTTTTAGGTATAAAAATCATGGTCTGTTTCTCAAGGGAAAAGTTTCATGAAATGATGCCACTATTTCATTGTTTTCTTTTTCTTTTTTTTTCATGTTTCATCCCTGTGGCCTCACATATGACACAAGGTAAATAAGGAGGAAGCTAGTGCTTCTATTTTCTCCTTTTTCTACTTCACACATCCAGACAAAAACATGTTTCATGCCTCCTTTTGACTCTCTTTCACGAGTTAAGTGACTCTCCATTCCTTTCCAGACTCCCATATCAAAATGTGCCCTGTGAAAAGTCTCAAATCAGCCATTTATCGTTCAGCATAAGTTTAAGCCAAAGGCCATGCATTTTTAGCATTAGCATTAATTGTGGAGTTAAATAATTGGTTCCCATTAAAGACATTTCAAGTATTGGCAGGGAAGAAAGGAAAAGAAAGAGGGAAATAAAGGAAGAGCCATGAATTTCGAGCAAAGAGATAAAGTGGGAGTTTGAGCTGGATGCCCAGTCAAAGGGAACTATATTGAGTATCTGATTCCAACTTTCCTTTCTGGAGAATGAATTCCAAAAATTCCTGAGTGGTGGGTCCTCCCTGGTGGCGCAACGGGTTAAAGCACAGCACCAAGAAGCTAAAGCCACTTCAGCATGAGTTCGATCCCCACCCTGGAGGTGACCACATGGCGTGGCAGACTCTCCTGACCTGACCGCTGATCCCCTCAGCAGTGTACTTCATCAGTCAGCCTGTTCTGCTCCCCACTCTGTCTCTGGTGAATCCTCTCACCGCCCCTGCATCTCTGGCCTGTACCCCAGTTCTGTATGCATAAATAAAAAAAATCTTTAAAAAAAATTCCTGAGTGGGTCCTCACAGTTCAGTCTCAGGACAGTGGCCTTTTTCTCTGCATGATTGACCTATGTGAGTGCCCTGAAGTTGTCTCACGGTTTAGGTTGCCTACTCCTTCCTGTGTGATGATAGCAAACCGACAGGTCGGAACTCGGCAGCGTGCCATCAGACAGATGGGAGTGAGGGCAAGAAGGCCTGGGGCCATCTAAAAGGAAGAAATATGTTTACTGAGGTCAGTGTTTCAGCAGAGACACCAAGGCAGCTGTCTGCACTGACCTAAAGCCAGTGGTGAAAAGGAGGCCATTTTTAAACATGACTGGGTCAAAAACATCATTTTGTTTTCATGAGTAACAGTGTGAACTATTCACAGACAGAAAGATATTATCAGAGAGAGGAAACAGGGTGAATGGTCATGGTAGACATCCCAATCCAAAGAAACCAAGCAGAACAAGTGTAACCAGGTTGGTGCTGTTCCTATTTGCAAAGGTTGACCAGATGATCTTCTGAATGCCCGCCCTCCTATGCCCACCACTGCTTACAAAGAGACCCTGCAAACATAGCCTCAAATTTTAAAACAACAGAGCCACTGCTCCAGTGGCATCCATTCCAAGGTTAAGAAACTGGTGTATCGAGGTAGTAGCTCCTTCTGTAGGTCCATTTTGTTTAATTTCCTTTATTCTGCCCCCCTGAGGAGACACATGGCCAAGATGACCACTGTTCTCATGAAATTTGGGGAATGACTTTCAGATCTGTCTGGGGTGCCTGCCTGGTCTGATTTCACCATTACCATGGTGCTTTCAAGCTTTCTGCATTTCCTGGCAATAGAGTTGGCTGAAGAATCTGCCATCTGTCATGGCATTTAAAAGATAAAAATGGAATCATAAATAGAGCCAGTTCCTCAGGAAAAAAAAAAAAAAGTCCAGCCGGCATGTCAAAATGGAGGACATTAGCATGTTCTTTTAGTACCCGGCTGCCAGCAGCTGAAGTCAGCTTGCTAATCACTTGGTGTCATCTGTCCTAGAATGTGCTGCCAAATCTTTCTTCCAGGCCAGCAGCACCAAACAATGCAGGAGAAATTTATGATTCACAAAATATTTTTGCAGAAGGTAAAATCTGACCATTAAACTCCCCCGTTTAATTAATGTTGCCATATCTTACATTAAAAAGAGAAAGGGGAAAAATCCACTGCCACAGAATTTATCTGTTTCACCCAGCCAAATTCCTTGCCAGATTTAACAGCAAGCAACATAAATTTAGGTGGTTAGATTGGTTGCATATATTTAATTTTTAAAAAGCACCATGATCACACTTTCATTAAAACAGGCTTTCAGCTTTGGTTTAGTGCCACTTGACAAACAACACAGCAGTCCATGATAGGGTTAGTGAAATGACAAGATTAAAATGAGGTTCTCAGGCAGATGCTAGGCTCTTCCGTTATAAATATGCAAAATTGCTGGCCCAACATCAGAATGACACATTGAGGAGGTTCCTTCGCACAAGTGCATATTCTCCACAAATTTTGGTGCGATAAGGTATGGTATGATGGAAAGAGTTCTCCAACATGACATCTCAGTCCAAATTCGTTCTGGTAGTCAGTAACGTCTATTTAGGTGACTTTCTTTATCATTTGGAACCTCGGTTTTCCCATGTATACAATGGGAACAAATCATCTTTTCAAGGTGGTGATGTAAGATATGCTACAAAAACGAGGGTCTACTACTCTGCCTGATGTACTCTTTCCTTCAGTTAAACAAACAAACAAAATATCAGGCTAAGTCAATACTTTTTGACCCTTGTTATTTATTTTCTTCCTGTTAAACTGTTTCCTAATCTTGAATCATTCAAACAGTATCTTCATAATTTTTGGCATGTTTTTGTGCTATTGGTACTTTTATTACTTAATATTATTTTATTATTAAATTTTTCTTCATAGCAACATATTTTTTTACTTAAATGCACTTATAAAGAAATCTGTTAGCTCCCCAAAGCTGAACCTTGATCACCATAAATACTACAAAATAAATATAAGAAAAGAATGTTTTTAATCCTAACTAGTTACCCAAACAGTTGGTACCAAAGACATTCCTTTGTTAAAAAGGAAAACAAGTAAATATTGAAGAATTATTAAGGACACATTAGCACCAAATTGAAACTTGTTCTTCAAACAATCAGAAGGATTGAAAAAAACTTCAAGGGAGCAATTTCTCACTCTTGATTTCCTATCATTCACTCTTTCTTCCTGTACCAACTACCAACCCATGCCATTTGGCATCTTTGCATCACTGATAGTGCAAATCACTTTAGGAAACAGAGTGGCAGACTTTATATTAAAAGAAAACCTTTAGAGCTTGTTTGGAAGTTCTAGCAGGGGAGCGCAGCTACTCGTATACCCTTGACCGAAGACTGGCCCATCTCTATTACAGGAAGGCAGCTTTGGGAGGGACAAACACGAGCGGTGAGAGAGAAAAGGGACATCCTCCTAGCCAGCCAGGTCAGCCAAATCAACCGTGGTGATCAATGGGGTGACAGATGTCACAGCCAGATCACCCTTACATCTGGATGGAGCTGGAAGGGATCATGCTTAGTGAAATAAGCCAGAAAGACAAGGAAAAATACCTAAGAGATCGGAATGGGGAGAGGGGTGGAGTGGGGTTGGGGATGAAAAGAGAGAAACAAATGTAATAGAGGAAAACTAAAAACCATGAACAACTATAAGTCAGAGACATTTTATGAGGGTGGAAAGGGGAATGGGATCAGAACTGGGGTGGGAAGAGTGTACTGGACTGTGGTGATAGCACATGGGTGAATTGGTGGAAAAACCATGGGGATTACAACTAAGATGAAAAAATGCACAAAATGAACAATGATGTAAAAATAAAGAAAAGAAAAGAAAACCTTGACCAGAAACCCCATGTGTTGGGAGAAAGAAAAAAAAGAATCGAAAAAACAAGTCATCAAAAACCAAAGAAGTTCTACCAGCAAATTGGGGTGAGGGTACTAGAGGCCTATCATCACAGTGCCATCATTTGTCGTGGGAGGCCGGGTAAGGGCTTCTGTATGCCTTACTCCCAACATTCTTGGAACAATAGACTGAACCAAATCTGTTACGAGTCCTGACTGGGAATTTTTAAGAATACAGATTGTTGGACTTTGCAAAGTCTTCTCTCTGGGGTGAGACCCAAGGATTTGTGACTTGTATTTCTATAAATCTTCCAGATAGTTCTCTTGAGGACTGAGAAATTTAGAAATTTACTGGGATACATGATTTCCTAAATGCCATCTTTTATGAATTGCTATAGTTGTGAATTAGGTTATTTTTAACAGCATTTTACAATCCTCATACATAAAGATTTTATTTTGCATTCTCACTTCATCATCACCAGTTGACTAATACCTAACCTTCATTTCTGAACATCCTTATGCATTCATTCACTGGCTTCTCGAGCAAGGTTACTGGTTTCTGCAATAAAAACATGAATATGTTCAGCAGACTCTCCAGTGGGCAGTGATCGGGGAGAGGGAGTAGACAAGAGGTAGAAGTTTCAAAATCAGGTATAAAATCTGAAACTCTGAACCTGATATACATGGATTAAAACAATAAGCAACACCCACCCATTAGCACACAGAAAAATTGTTGTTTTTCTTCGTGACTTCTTACCTCCTTCCAGATAATGCTTGGTGTTGTAAGGATAAGGAAGTGGAGGAAGGGGGACCAAGGAAAGAATAAGAACAGTAATGATAGTAGTAGTAGTAGCAGTAACAATTCATAGTTATCTAGTTCCTCCAAAGATATTGTTTTAAGTGGTTTATATGCATAAATCTATTCAAATTGTCCCAACAGCCTTTGAGGTAGATGCCATGAGCATCATTACTTTTCACATAAGAGAAAATGGGCATTCACGAAGGACAGAGTGAGTGTGGAGGTTGGAAAATAAAACAAAAAAAGAACAATCAATGTGGAACCATTCTTAGTCTGGGTAACAACCAACCAAACAGCCATCCTGAGCCCAGGTTGCTGGAGGTCAGATTCCAGGAATGTCTGGGTACCTAAACATTTGGGGTGTCTACAAATGAAACCACAACAACAAGCCATGCCCATAATTGAAATTCAACCAATCTCTGCTTGGCAAACCTTCCGCCAATCAGAATTGCAGCTAACTGAAAACCTCACTTGCATAAATTGACACACCCCTACACTTTGCCTATATAAGCAGCTCCCCAGCAAAGTTATCTGGGCATAAAGCTGAGTGCTCCTTGAGAATATATCCTGGTCTGTTGAAGTGAGGGGTACAGATACACTTTACTGTAATAAACTGCAAAGTAAAGCTTCAACTAGGTATAGCAGTTACAGGACCATAAATGATCCCGTGCATGCTCTTTGGTGATTATACAATGCCACTTTTCAAGCAAAAGAACCAGAATGAAAAGGAATCTCCATACCTCATGTTTTTGCTAATGCCTATCAAGATTCAAGCACTGAACTGTTATTAAGATATTGTAAAGCACATATGTTAAGAGAAAAAAAGGAGTTATTAGTTCAAACTTCCTGGGATTTTTTGTTTGTTTAACAGTTGAATTATCTAAATCATTTAAAATTCTAAAATAGCATGCAAAATCATCTTTACTGATATTTAAACAGTATTGCATTGAGGATATGCTGAACTTAGGTCGATAAACATATGATAGAGTGCTATTTGGACATGGGTGCGTGAGAACACTTACCCATGTTAGTTTATGGGAACTCATTGAATAGTTGAAGAATATGCTACGTTGTTTGTTCTTTTACAGGATTCTTTTGAAGGTTGTATGCTAACACGATCAAGGTAAAATTTCCAAGAAGCCGTGTGTGCATGGCAGATAAACCAATACTCTCGAATTCTCCTTCTTAACTGGCAAAATTCAGAGTTGGATATGTGTTGTGGTTGTCCCAAAGGCTGAGTAGTCCAGTATTTCCTGGTTCCTATCCTATCCTAGCTCTGGATTCTGTATTTCAGTACATGACCTTTAGTTTAGCTAGTTTTGAGAACTACTTGACATAGGTCCTTTAGACTTTTCTTTCTTTATGTGACTGGAAACAGATATCAATATTTTATATATGAATATAGACTTTCATTATTGTTGTATATTTGCCTTTTCACTAGATTTTTATTCATTCCAATGATTTATTTGATACAGAATCCTTGAACAGGTGCACAGCCACCAATTAAAACATTGTTTCTATGGGGAAATATGATCCACTTTATGACAACATGATTTATGATATAGCTACCAGAACACATTGTGTCAAAAGGCAGTGTCTGCTTATGCCAAATGTTTACTAGTAAATACATTTTCCTCAGATACAAAAAAAAAAAAAAAAAAAAGCTCAAAAAAGAGGTAAACTATTTCTCTACATCTCTCCTGAGCTGGGATCCTCAGGTCTTCACATTCCAAAGCAAGAACAGCTTGCATTTAGATTTGCTTATGTGTTTATTTTTAAACAAGCCCTAATTTCTTGCCTTGCTGCTGTCATGTTAATTGTGCACTTCACCTTTGTTACAACTAGGCAGTAAAAGAAAAACCTGAGCTGGAAAAGGACTCATTTACACCTCCTTTTGTATTTCTAAGTGTGAATCCAGCGAGGGGTTCTGAAGAGTTTTTTGGGGACTCACCTGAATGTGTCCCTGGGGACAGCCGCCTCGCCCATATGTACATAGCACACTGTCTGTCCTGCTATGTCCATTTGGCTGAAACTGGTGATGGGAACTCCAGGATAGCGGGCATATTCAACCTGGCCATATCGTGGGGAGGAGGTGATGATGAAGAGCAATTCTTCAGGCTTGTCTGTTCCATCCACAGCAAGAAGAGTAGCAGTTGACAGGAACCCTCTGTTGCCTTTAGATACCACGAGTGGTCTTGCAAGGATAACAATGTCACCTGTCAGGCAGAAAAGGCTGTGGTCAAGTAGCAGGTTTAAAATATTTTTACAATGTCCAAGCAAACCAAACTGTGCAGTAGTCAAATCTAAAATGATGTAGAAACATCATGGTTAACTATGTTTAATAAAAGAATTAGGCAAAGACACAGCAGATTTGACACAGACAGGGACATAGCTGGCTAATGAAGGCACAAGATGTTCAGTCTCATTACTGATATGGAAATAAAACTCAGGATCACAATGTCATCATCATATAACCTGTGTCTGGAAAAATGTAGATGTCTGATGATACCAACTGGGGAAGAGGATGTATATCAAGAGAATCTTACATATGATTCTGGTAGGAATATAATTCAGCACACAATATTTTATAAAAACTTATATAGTCATAACACCTTGGCTGTAGTAGTGATTCTACTCCAGCTCATGTATTAGAAAGAAACATGTGCACTAGTATCCAGGCTTATTCCAGAATGGTCACTGCAGCTCTGTTTGTAATTGAAAACACTGGAGACAATCCAAATGCCTTGTTCAAAGGTGAATGTATAAACAAACTGTGGTATAATCATAGAACTGAATCCTGCACAGTAGCACAATGAATGGCCTACAGTTACAAGAAACATCACAGATGTAGTTTATCGATATTTGTTAGTTGCACGAGCAAATCCCAGAAAACTAAATAAACATAAGAAAATAATTAACTCAAAATTCAGGATGGTACTTCTCTCTGGAGGATGGTTAGAACACATGGGAAAATGGTCATTACCATTAATATTCCAGTCTTCAAATTATGTGGTAGTTATACAGGTTTTTATTATGTATTTTAGAAAGAATGTGCATTGATTGTATGGGCGCGCAATGTAGAAGTGGGTCTCATGGACTAATGATGCCGAGCTTCACAAAATAAGGATTGCAATGCACTTTCACTCATCAGAGTTCATGCAAAAAGTGATCATTAAGTAATACATCCAACTTCTATATGCCAGGCTTGGAGAGAGCAGCACTTACACCTTCACACCATCACTGTGAGGTAGATTATTGTTATATTGTCCAGGTTACAAATGAGTAAACTATAGAAGGGGTGTTGAAGTGCTAATGATTATACAGCTAATGGAAGATGGAGCTAGAATTTGAACTCAAACCATCTGTTTTAAGAGCACAAACTCCAACACTACATTAGTTTTGTTTGCCTTTTTTAGTATATAGGGAGTTTTTATAAATCAACATGAGCATGGTGAGTACCTAAAAGGAAATCTGTGCAGATAAATTCACAGCAATGAAAAGCTTTCCGTTCCAAAGTTCTCAATGATGTCAAGATTGGGAACTCTATTCGATTATCAAATTGCTCTTTTTGATATGTTATGCTTTAAACTCAAAATGCTATGCAGTTAAAGTTCAATGTGGAATTAAAGACAACCCTATGTTAAATCAGAACTTGAGCCCAGGTATTAAAGAGAGAGGCAAGATGAATAATGAAGGAATAAGAAGAATGAGGAAGTCAAGAAAAATAAAAACTCACCCAAAATATATTTCACAGGAGCAGAAGATGGACCTGAGGGGGAGAGGGGAGGGCATCTGGGTTTTACCTCAATGTGCTTTTTTTCCTAGCACTATAATGACAGAGTGCGGAATAGGGTCAATTATAGATGACATCCTTCTAAACTCCTCTCAAAGATCACCATTATCAGGATTAAGACATGGAACGTATTTGCACAATGGAATACTACTCCACTATTGAAAAAAAAAAAAAGATGAAATCTGGCCATTTGGAATAACATAGATGGAAGTGGATGGGATTATGCGAAGCAAAACAAGTCAGGAAAGAAAAACATATGGGATAATTTTATCCAAATGTAGAAAATAAAGAACTGAGACAGAGAAACAGACAAAACTTAATCAAAATAGACTGGAAATCTGACTGCTGAGACTATGGGGGGTTGGGGAAGGCACAAGGAATATAAGGAGGAAGGGACCTAATGGACTAGGGTGAAGGTTTATGGGTGCTTGGTGATGAGGCATCTGAAGAGGTATGAACTTATGCTCCTAAATCATAAAAAGTGTTGAAAGACAGTATTACCATAACAACAACAACAACAGAATTAAAAAGAAACAGCACTTGGGCCCTCCCTGGTAGTGCAATGGGTTAAAGCATAGGACTGAGATGCTAGCCACAGCTTCAGCACAAGTTCAATCCCCGCTTCCCCCAGGGAGGTGACCACTTAGCATGGCAGACCTCTCCTGACCCACCCGTTGCTCTCCTCAGCAGTATACTTTGTCAGTCTGCCTGCTCTGCTCCCCAGTCTGTCCCTGGTGAATCCTCTCACCACCCCCGACGCCTGCACTTCTGGCCTATACCCCAGTTCTTGTATGCATAAATAAAGAAACCTGAAAAGCACAGAAAAATCCAAAACTTTTGAAAATGTCAATATGCTATTGTGTCCACTCGGTAGCAGTAGATGTTGATGATTTGCTCTCCGGCCTCACATCCTCCTCCTGGGAATAGTTTCTGTTACCATCCCCCCTAAGTAAGACAAGTAGCTGCAATTCAGTCACTGGGGCATAGAGAAGACAAGTAAGCTGCCTTTGAACTTAGCCTATAAAATTCTTTCATTTTCATTCATATCTCATTTTGGGAATGACTCCAAGGTTTGAAGCAAAGGATGCTCTAGTTAAACGGAAACCCCAAGTGGCTTTGTAGGACAAAATTCTCTCCCACTCTTAGGGGTGCAATGGGCTTACTGTGAAGACATTCTTCCCTAAAACATTAATTGTCTACCCTAATATATCACTTGTAAAATTTATTCCCACATATATAATAAACATAGTCTTGCATTTGAAGAGAGAAATAAATGTGTACCACAATACCTACATTATCTGAGTCACTTACTAGATATCTTCAAGGAACATCTATTACAACCAGAAAAAGGCAAATAAAATATATTACTATACAACCCAAAATAAACATCTCAAACTCAATCAAGCTGACTTGATTATTTTTTAATTTGGGAAAATTGTAATTCTACTGGACACATGACATAAGAGACTTTTACTGCAGTTAAGCGCCCAAATTAGCTCTGAGCCTCCTGACAGCCAATGAAAAATACAAACAAACAAAACCAGGGAAACATTCAGGCAAGTTGTCAAGTATAAACTGAGAATCTAAAACTGCACTTTGCCCTGGAAATGAATAGATCTTGAGCTATCTAGATGAACGATATGACCCACCCCACACAAATTCTATATGAAATGTTGGGATGGTGATATTCCGTTGTCATCAGCTTACACTTTCCCTTGCTGAGCTTTCTTTCCAATATTTTTTTCACTCTCCTTCCATCATTTGTATACTGCCAAATCATATGCAAATGAGGTCACTTAATTAATTCAAGAGAAGCTTATTATTTTGTATTGTTTTCCCTTGTCCCTAAACAGTACATATTAGCACTTTCAAAGTAAAATGAGCACCATTCCAACATTTTCAATGACAAAATTCCTTTTTGTTCTCTCAATTTTATTTTAAATGCATTTATTTTTATTTCCTTGTTTAATTATGTTGGAAATATTTTTTATTGGTAACTGCATTATGAAATACTGATTGTTTTCTTGAAGATAAAACTAGAGTTATTACATTAATTTGGTAAAGTTTTACTTGAAGCAAAAACAGAAATGACAGTATAAACAGCAGTCATGCAGTGGGCAAGGCTGGATTTTCAGGGGAATTTCTTTTTCTTTTTCTTTTTTATTTATATATATATATATATATGTTCATTTTTATATAATGCTTGATTTCTCCTCTTGTACATAATCCCTGTGGTCAATGGACTTTCTTA